TGTGGTTTATCGGCGAAAAAGTTGGTCAAATAGTTTTTAACATTTCTTCGGTTATACAATTTTTTACTATTTAGAGAGTTTTTTAGAGATCTAAATAAATAAATAACATAAATAGTAGTTAGATAGTAGTTAGCGCAAGATCCTATAAAAGAATTTGGTAAATGTATCAAATTTCCTAACTAAGTTTCATCAATTTGTTCCAAATCAACTAAGATATGTATAGCCTGACATTGTTACGATGGAACACAACTTCTTTTCTGTTGACCAATTATGGTTACTTTTTCAAGATTGTTTTGTTTACATGTTCGAGTTGTGGCAATAGAGGACCGAATTTACCATTGTACCAGGTTGGATTATCTCGTAATTCAAATTTCCGATATAATACAATGTCAGGCTTTGAAGTCGTTTGTGGAAAGTCGTCGGTTATTGACCAATGACATATAATTTTTTTTATTTCTAAAGGCAAAAGCCAATCGAAAATTAACAGATAATAAAAAATGGCAACAGAAATTTTAAGGATATTTTTACGGTCTTCCATTTAATATTTTTAATAATAGTAAAAATTAATTAAATGAAAATAAATAAATTTAAACAATTTTTTTTTTGTCGAAATTCACTGATAAAGGTACTTGAGCTTTCGGCTGCCAGTTGCCTCCGTGGCGCAATTGGCTAGCGCGTTCGGCTGTTAACCGAAAGGTTGGTGGTTCGAGCCCACCCGGGGGCGCAACACTTTTTTTTTATATATTATTCCTTTTTCATTAATATTATTTTAAAATTATTTTTAAATAAAAAATAAAGAAAGAAAATACACCAAATCAGTTACTAAGACCGTTAAGTCATACATCTTAATAATATTTTGTTAACATATGTATATGCTTGCCTGTAATTCTTTCTTCCTAGATGAAGCAAAGGACCTTCCTTATTATTTTAAATGAATTTCGTTAGGAGAATAGCTAATCAATTCCTAATCTTCAATTAGCGCTCCTTTGATCTCCTTTAAGTCATGTTAATCGCACCCGGTTGTCAAGAACCATGCGTTTTACACGTAAGTGGAATAATGTATTTTATTTGCTTAATAGTCAATAGATACGGAAACCATATGGAACCATCAACAGATCTCACCAGTTTTTTGCACACTTATTATCAAATTATTATTATTATATTATTTTTTATTATTATGTTATTTGTGTATTATTAAATGTATTGTATAATTAAATTTGAAATATGTTTCTCGACCTGGTTTTTTAATAATGATTTTAATAAACTTCGCTTGTTGCAGAGGTGTTGAGCGAAGAGAGGGATTATAGAAAGAGAATAATACTAGAGATGCTACATATCGTGCAAACATTACAAAATTTAAAAATTAATTACAAACCAGACACGGAGAATGAAGCCCACCTCCACATAAAACTGATTGGTGAAAATTAGTGCAATATAGACCGCTGAATCAAGAGCATGACGTTTTGAGATATAGATTTTATTAATATTAATTTATGTAAAATAATTTAAGACTCAAAATGGTTACAGGCTCCTCGAGGGGGTATGCAGATCTAAGGTCAATTATTACTTAGGCTGATGAAGTGATAAACAATAATCCAGTCAAGGCTTAAAGACAGGTTTTAAAGATACCTCGAGTTAAAAAAGAGTAAAAGTGCTCAAGTGCACTGGCTCAAATAGCTTTAACATAAACATTAACTTCAATATATGTATATATTTCTAATATATATAAATAAATTTTAATATATATATATGTTATATATATATACAAAATTAATATATTCATAATTAATCAAAAAATTAATAATTAAAGTATTATAAAAATTGTTGTAATTATCTTTGTAGATCCTGATTCTGATGATGACTCTTAGATAGAGTCGAAATATAGAATATATTAAACAAACATTTAATTTTAACAAAAAATATTATATAATATTATATAATATTAATTATATATAGTCGTAGTCAAACACAAAATTTGAAAAATATAAAAATCTAAAGAACTTTTCTATTAAACAATATATTCAGATATACTTCAAACACCCTCCGTGCAAAAATATTATATTTAATTAATAATAATCAATAATAATAATTAATTTAAAAACATATAATAAACATTTTGCATATACATATTATTTTATATATTATTATTATTTATTTTATTATTATTCTATAACAATTCACATATTTTTGTTTGCAAAGCGTATGTCAGCAAAATTCATCAAAAAATAGAAATATTTTCAAATAAATTCTTAATACGGGAATTTATCTTAAAAATTTTTTGATATAATCTAGAATTAAAAATTTTTTTAAATTATTTTATTTTAATTAATTATGTTTATTATTAATTTTAATTTATTATTAAATTGTTTCCTATCACTTATTACTGCATTCATTCACTTGCAACATATACGTTTCGTCAGCAACATTTCCAGTTGTTGATTTTGTTATGCCACATAATTTTTATAGTTAAAAATTACAATATTTTCTCCGTTGCTGGTTTCGGTCTTTGCTATACAAATTTAGTGTAGCTAAGACATTTACTCAACTCAGAGATCGTATAATAAAGTGTTTGCATAAATGTAAAATGTTTCACTGAGACACAAACCTAAACATTTTTAAGATCGTAAATTAAGGAGACCATGAAGATAGTGAGCTATGTCATTCCATATATGTAAATAAAAATTATTGTAAACATGTATAATGAATGCTTATTTATGATATAAAAGAAATTAATGTTAATTTTAATTTTAATGTTAATTTAAAAGTTAAAAAAGGTTGGAATAGAAATGAAGAAATTTATATAATATAATGCGAAATATATTTGCACAAAATCATATTCCACAAAAATGCTGAGACTAAGCATTATTTCGTGCAAAAGTTCCCGTGAGAAAAAAAATTTGCTTATATGCAACATCAATATTTTATAATTTACTTTTAATTTAAATATTTTTTAAAATTTGTACAGAAATAAGTCTTCACAGATAATTTTCAAACAATAAAGCTGAATTAATTATACAAATTAAAATTTTATTAAAAAAAATTGAATATGTTTATTAAATTGAATTGTATTAATATTAAATGTAAAAATATTTAAAGGCGCCTCAATTTTTTTTAAACGTAAAACACACACTCAAAAAGAATTACGTAAATAACCATTCTGGATATGTCTGAATGTATTTTTAATTGTGTTTTTTATTTTACAAGTAAAATTTGTTTGTTTTTTAAGTAAAATAGTTTATAAGTTATTGGTAATAGTAATTAAACTGAAATTTATTTAAATGCAGTCATTGCAAATGAAAACGTCTTTATTATAAAGTCTTTGACATTTCTATATAACAGACCGTATTAATTCAAAGATTTTACTGCAATCTAATACCGTATTATGTGCCTTGTTCTATGCACAAAGAACGTTTTTTAGTACAGCGTGTTTTCGCACTTTTCACAAAGATTGTAACATTACGGTCTTTGGTTTACTGCAGTTGCGATTATTTCGAATTCTACGTTTATCGAATTCTATGTCTTAATTACAAGTATATTTAGCACAAATGCATATTATCCAAGTTTCAAACCATTTTGCGATGAACTTTCCTTAAATTATTTGATTAACTTAGTTTAAATTTTGACGGTTAGAGTGCGCAGATTTTAAACAAAAATTTGTACAATAATTGCTATAATTTCTGATTCTCATTTTTGTATTTAATTTTTGTTTCGTTGTTTTTTGTTTGATTTTGTTTTTATTTTTATTTATTAAAATATAAATATTTTAATGATTTTCCTAATGATTTTCTGACCAAGATTTTAATATAAAAGTCATATAAGTTGCGGTGAACTTTGACGTTTTTAAGATAATTTATTTTAATTTATATGCTAAACAGAACATTTAATATTTTTCTATGTGTTGCATATATATTTCACTCCACAATTATATACAAAAAAAAAAAATAAAAATTGCATTTGCATAAACATATTTTTATATTTCTTTCATAAAAAATAATTCGTTGTTAAGTTTTTTAATATAATGTTTAGTTTCCTGATAATGACTTCAGACTAAAGTCGAAAAATTGATGAAATAAAAATTAATGAAAAATAAATCATGGTTTTTTTCAAAATTTTAATTTTATTTAATTTTATTTAAATAAAAATTATTGTAAAATAAATCAAGGTTTCTTTTTTTTAATTTTTAGTTTCAGCAACAATAAAAAAATTAACTTATTAGCCTGCAGAAACACTTTGTTAAAATCAAATATATTATAATAATAATTAATAATAATAATAATAATTAATAATAATAATAATAATGGTTTATAATAATTATAAAACCATAAAAATATTTAAAAAAAATTTATAAATTTAAAATTCATAAATTAAATTTAAATTTGTATTTGTACAAATTTTTGTAATTTATTAATAATTTGTAAATTATTATTATTAATTTATTATTTATTTATTATATCCATTTATTTGAACTAAAATTTATTTCAAACATATTAATAAAATTATATTTAAATTAATATGAAATGTATTTCAAAATTTAACCTTTAACTTCAAACTTTTTACTCACACTTCGACGAATGTTGTTTGACAGCTTCCCTTGTCAACATATTATTGGCAACATGTTTATAAACATTTCAATAATAAAAATTCTTTAATAAAATTGTTTTGCACTTATGAATATTTATAGGAAAACCATTAGCAGTTGCCTCCGTGGCGCAATTGGCTAGCGCGTTCGGCTGTTAACCGAAAGGTTGGTGGTTCGAGCCCACCCGGGGGCGCAATTTCTTTTTTCATTTTCTTTCGAAAAATATTTTATTTCGTACTTTTTTTCTATTGTGAAAAAAGTCATGAGAAAAAAAGTTCATATTCATTTTTTAAATATTTTTACAGTTTATTTTATTTTTTTCTTAATTTAAATTTTATTTTAAATATTTTACATGATTTTTTTAGTTTGTCTCCTAATAATAAAAATTAAATTTAAAAAATTTCTTAGCTTAAGACGCTCTAATAATTAAATATTAAATAAAATTAAGCCGTAATTAATTAAGTACTCCTACGTTAAATTAAATTAATTTGAACACAACTATAAGCTTCATGTATCTCAGCAATAATTGTTAACCAGAATCGGGGGAAAGCAAATTTGATTTATTTATTGTTGAGGTTGTCGTCTCATCCATGCTGGTGAGATTATGTGCGGAGCTTACCTACGATAAGAAAAAATAAAATAAATTAATTATAAATATAGTATGAAGAGAAAGAAAGATTGAGAGAAGGAGAAAAAGAAAGAGAGAGAGAGAGGGATTCATATAACTTACAGGACTAATAGGCGTAATAACTATCGCAGTACAGGGTCGTCTTCTGTGCAATAAGGCTGTGTTTTCTGTTGATTCCTCACAGTAAACATCAACATCTGCTAAAGTGTCACTATCCATATCCCACGAAGGATAATGATCCATTTCACCTTCACAATTGAGGTCTTCTTCCTCATAATCTTCTACTTCGTCTATTAAAATAACTGCACATAAAAGATTTGAATATAAAATGGATTCGAGAATTAATTAGATAAACAATTATTATTAATCAATTATTCATTGCTCTATATATCTATCTATAATTATATTATCTATATTTACTTGAACTATCTGGCATTGATTTAATATTAGCGGAATCTAATGATTGTACATCTGCAGGCAAACTAATCGCAACGTCTCTCTCATTGTAACTTTTACTCTCATGTATTTGTTGAGGTGTGGATCTGAAAACGTTATTGCATAAATACATAATACATATAAAATATTACTTCACATTCTCTTCTTCTTCAACCTTACCTTAAAGATACACGTTTCTTAGTTCTATTTTCTAAATCAGTCATTAAACCATCATTGTGCTGTTGATATACCTGAGCTGATGCTGAATCAGTCGTCGTCTGATATGCATTCAGCTCGGAAGTCTAATAAATATATATATTTTATATGTGAGATTAAATAAAAAATTACTGATTATAATTCATTTTATTAAGAAAGACCAGTGAGGGACAAAAAATTGCTTCACCGTTCTTTTTTTCCACTGCACTGTTCTTCACTATACGTATATCACACCTCACCTGTGTATATGCTGTTATACCCGAAGGATGTGTTATTTGCTTTTGTTTGGGCGTGTCCATAACTGTAGTCACAGCTCTTTTAAAATGATTGGAATTCTTTGGATCCCTCACGATTAGACTGCTGGGATCATTTTGATTTTGTATGGAATGTTTTGGTGCCTGCGTATTTAGTGGAAGTGATTGAATTCTCTCACGATCTTCCATATACGCTTTTATTAATATATCTAGTTTTTCTTCTATATCGGCGACCTGCAATCGATGTAATCGGATAATATGTTAATTTGTGGCTTTTAAGTGATGATATTTATTGAATTTATTTACCTGCCGCTCTACTTTTACTACTCGAGATGCTAAACTAATTTTGGATGCGTAGGCATCCTTTGATTTTGAGCCTTGTTTTCCTAATATTTGATCTAACCTGTGAGGGATAGAGTATTTACAAAATTATTGCATTTATCATAATATAAATATTTATTAAATATTAACAATTTATTTATGAATAAATGAAAACAAAACCAATAAGATAACATTGTTGTTGGTACAGTGTCTTTTGGGAATAACCAATATAACGTCGAGTTGTAGAGTCATAGCAGAGAGATCGAATCATTAATAAACATATATAGTAGATTAAAATACTTTTTCCATAAGTTTGACTATAAAATAATTTTTTTTGAATAAGTATATCGAAAAAATGGAATTTTAACTTCATATACAAATAAATATATACTATATAAATATATATACTTAGAGAATAGAGGAAGAACGGGGTACTAGCTCAATATATATACTTTACTTTTTGAATTAAAAATGATATCATTATTAACTTTTTTTGCTTAAAAAATATATTTCTTGACATTATATATTTCAAGTCATATAAATCTTATTTAAAAAGTTATTTAACTATCTGCTTTCCAAAATTCTGGTTAGGTTACTGATGCAGATTACTGCTCATAATGGATGTGAATTTTAGAGGCTTTCAAATATTTACTGTTTACTTAAAATCAACAGAAATGGATATTTCGAATAGTTTTTTCCACTGCGCTATGATTTACTTTTCGAGATATGAAGCATCAAAATTTTTATATTGTTAACATAAATGGGTGTAGGTACGCCAACTAGTGTCAACTCATTTATGCGATTTTCATATTAGTTCCATTAAAATCGACCAGTAGCACAGCCAGAGTATTAGGTCGGAGGAGCTGAAGGATATATACAAGATCCAGTATATCAGTATAGTAGATTTAGTATAGTATAGTAGATACAGTACAGTAGTCATAGTATAGTAGATATACGATAGTATAGTAGATATAGTATAGTAGATGGCAGTATATCAGCTGTAGATTTTATTGTTAAGGCAGTTTTATACTGTAATCATATCCTACATGTACCACTGACAACAAGTAACGACCAGTAGACGTCTTGTTGTTGTTAGTGGTTTTAACACAACACTCAAATACCATCAGACATCCCAAATATCTCAAATTTTCTAAATAGTTTTTGGAGATATCTCAAAAACTAAGCTAAATTGTCATATAAGAAGAAGTAGAAGAATTTGGTCAAAAAATATATCTATGCTAAAATCGTTATTAAATACAAGTATCCGGGAAATGAGAATCCAAGTTGGAATCTATTACAAGTTGATAAATAGACGTCCATATATTGATACGTCTCATGACATAAACCCTTTGGCAGTTTCCTAACTACGTTACAAACAACTTGATAGATTTAATTCAGCAATTCCTTTTTCTCTATGAGGGATGTAAGAATATTGAGTGTGTTTTTCAAAATAGAAGAAATAACTTGAATTAACCAATCAAAAATCTTACCTTGCATGTACATTTTTGACACGGCCAAGCAAGTCCACATGGCCGGCAGCATATTGCTCCATGACATCCTTAACATCATATGGTTTTAAAGCTTCTTTAAACTTACGACGAGCTACAAAATACTTTAACTGTGGGGGAAGAGAAAATTTGAAAAATTGTAAATAAAATTATTCTTCGCTGCTCTTATGTGGTTCGAGCCAAGAACCATATAAGGACAGCACTCGAAACTTACCTTTCTTAAAAAACGAATTGCAATTTTGTGTTGACTTGTGAGTTGAGTGCAACGTGGTTCGTCCTCCTCATCTGGGAAAAGTTAGAGAACAAATATAAGTAGAATTTCAAGCAAAAAGCAATTGTGAAGGATATCTATCATCTACAAATGCTACGTTCAAGCGGTAACTACAATGTACACACTAAACACAAACATAACTGCAGGACATTTAGATATAATAAAACACCAAACAAATACTACACGGAACAGTCAATAAAAGTTGAAAGCTATATGCGTGCAAGATACACAGTGAGAGAAAGAGAGAGAGGAAAGATACGAGTTAGATTAAGGAAAAGTGCATGCGATAGTACGGATAAGTTTCGAGGTGCAATGGGAAACGTTTGCAAGGTTAAGCAACACAGATTGAGTTGCGTCATTGTTCGTAAATCCAATTTTCACTTTCCACAAATGACATTTCATTATAATATGATAAGCAGTTAATTTATGTCACTTTTCTCAAGAATTTATCTTTTATCTTTTATGTTTTATGTTTTATGTTTTAAGGATAACAACTTTAATCCTATGAAATTTTACTCGTTACTCGAAACATCGTTAAACACATTTCTCACCCACAAAGTTATAAAAATTTTTAATTGCTTTACCGAATTTCTTTTTCAACTTTTTTCAAATTGCCTTACAATAGCGCTTTTTCGGTAGGATTTGGATATATTTATGGCGTCTAAAAGTTCCTATTTCAGGACATAAAACGCTGTGCTATATGCATTACGAAGGACATCACTGTTACTAGTTTAATGTACTACAATTTTAGCAATAAAAAAACGATTTAGGTTTAATTAAATTAATTAAAATACTGCGAATGGACGCACTTCTAGGATAATATTGTCCCTCAATTGAAACCTGATTCCCACTCTCTAAATATGGCATGCCATCGTACAAGTGTTCACCGTCCGCCACACACACACTCGAACGCCGGATGGTGCAGTTCGAACCGAGTATGTCGCGTTGCAGGAAACCCCAGAGCACAATCGGAATGCTCGTGCTGACGTCACCGACGGACAATTTATTTTTATTATCACTTTCCGTGTTGTTGTTCCTGCCCGGAACGGTTAAGTACCGCGCATTGCATTGCTGATAGTTTCCAGTTTCAATATTGCTCAGCTTCTCCTGCTGACAGCCGCTGCCCTTGCAAGGACTCTTTGCTGCTATTTAAACAAAATTTAATTGTCTTAGAATTGCTTATATAAAATTTAGTCTTAATGGGTTTTTACTGTCTTAAAATTATTGGCAATATTTGTTAGCAATAACAATTCAGCTAGGTTAATTTGCAACTTAAATTATTAATTTTTTAAGTGGCACTTACAAGAGCGAATCGCTAACATTTTTTGGAGCATTCCAACTATGAGCCCAAGAAATGATATGATTTGGCGTTAATGAATGTAGAATTTGAAATAGGCTTACAGAAGATAATATTATAGAAATGTTGGCAGCTACAATGCCCTGTTCAGACAGAGCAACTACTTCCGATAACAGGTGAATGAAATGACGATATTTGGGAACTAGCGAAATTGGCAACGGATTTAAATATTATGAGCATGTTTTTGCACTGCACTATTAACCATATATACATACATATATAATATATTTATATATTATATGGTATTATCATATTTGATTCCTGAGATATTGAGGTTTAAAATTGTAAATTTTTGCATGACTTACACAAGTCATATATATATATAATATTGTTGGAATCTAAGATCTGAGATGTCGGGACTTAATAACTACTTTAGGTCCCCATGTCTAGAGATTTATGCAATATCGGTAATGCTAACATAATTTAATCCAATCTGTTAAGTCATGACGCCTGGAAAATCAGTATCGTGCCGAAGAAGTCTTCATATTGTTCTAAATTAAGATTTTTGTTTTTAACTCCGATATTATAAAGTTTTAAAATCAATACTTGTACCCAAGACATTCAAAATTTACAACGTGCTTAACATATACTCTACATTTGAAAACATATATGTGTAATAATTAGTAGTTGGCTACTGTCTATAATACAGATGGAAGTTATATGGACACTGTGAGTATTATACAAACACTCTGCGTAGATCACTTCATCCGTTATAGTTCAGACTTCGCAGAAATTAGATTGAAATTGCTGGGTTATAATGTGCTAAGAATAAACAGGAGTTCATTTATAGAGAAACGAACTTAGAGTACTGCTCGGAGTTAATCATTATTATCATAATAACAGATCCATGTCATAACATATCCATGTCAATCACATTTTGACGATATAGACAATATATAGCATTTCCTTTATTATTATTAGTATATGCAAGAACGTGATTCAGATTGTTGGGTTACATCATACACTCTAGATGAAATTTACAACTCGAGGTTGTGGACAATGTTGATGAGATTGAACAAAAAAGAAACGGCTTTAAAGTACTGATACGATTCGTCATAGTATACAACCAAATTGGACATTACAACGGCCTTGTATAGGTGTTATCACAAATCCATGTGATTGACATTCACATTTCGAGGACTTAATTTTTCGACACGGGTGTGAAAGAAAAGTTCTATGAGTTGGCAACAATTACCGGATCCAAATAAAACATGAACTGTAAGTGCTTTATCATTTAACGACGTTGATATTATTTAGTGGATTAACAACAGCGGCTTCGCTGGCTTAGTCATGCTGTGAGAATGGGTGAAAATGCTCCAGCGGAAAAGGTATAAGAAGCGGTAGTTGCAGGAAGCAGGTGTAGAGGAAGACGATGTCTCTGGTAGAGGGATCAACTTGAGGTAGTACTAAGTGGGCTTGATATACGAGACTGAAGAAGGCGTGCACGCAACAAAAGTGCATGGTGAGATATGGTACGTCAGGCCATAAACCCGGTAGCGGTTTGCTATGGCTAAATAAGTAAGTAAATAAGTGTAAAAAATAACTTTATTACGGAAGCTTATTTCAGATCTTAAAGTCAGCATTCAGCACACTTTTTTTTTTGTTTTTTTTTTGTATGAATTTTTTTATTTAAAACTTTTATTTAAATAAGTTCTTTAAAATATACAAAGCATCAAACTGCTTGAACCTTTTGCTTTTCGAATAATTCAATGATGCTGTTATGGGAAGATATTTGAGCAACTCGAACATCGAATCTGTCTTATGTCTGGCTAATCCTTAGAACAAAAATTTATGTTCGAATGCTAATATGTTTTATATTCGAATTTCGCCTACAAAAAACATCTATTTATAAATCAAGCCAGTGTAGACGCAGATAAAAATGATCGAAACTTCGAACAGTTAGATTAATATTTAAGGCACTAATTTAAATGCATGCCGAAATATACAATATAACACTGTTACTCATTGAAGTATTATTTCTTAGTAAGATTCACTGAAGAAATTAATTTCCCACTGAACCTTTTAAAATACAAGATTTCTTCAGTGATGCCTCCAGTGATGATGCGTTTTAAAAATGGACAATTTTCTTGACGTTCCAGAAGTAATGCACAAACATCAACGGAAAGTGGTTTCGAAAAGTCATATTGATATAGGTTCTTATATAGAAACATGAGAACGTATATGTTGAGCTTTAAGAGTAAACCTAAACGTTTTAAATGATAATGTGCGGTTATATTCAATAAATCAAATCTCTCAGTGATCTCATGAGGTGTTATTCGCCAGTATGCACCAATTAATACTTTTTTTTGCTATCAATAGTTTTAACTGACGTGTTGCATCTTCAACATCAAAATTACTGGATCGAATTTTCTAAATTAGGTTCGACGCTCGTATTCTATCAATACATCTTCTCCACACACAATAGATAACTTTTTTCTTGCTTTAATAGCATTTTTACTTTACAATAGTAAAAAAGTAGAATATGCTGAATGGTACTTCTACTTTCCATACTTTCCATATGAAGAACTCAGTGGTTTCTAGCCAGTAACCAAAAACCAATGCGTGGAATCAATCGAATCAACTATTTCGCACGTAATTCTTGGTATATCCGCTGTCAAAATATAGATTTATTATGCGGCTTAAGTGTTAAGTTGGCTGTTAAAATCTGTAATAAGCTCTTTGTTGAGAAAAAAAAATGTCATTTTCTGAATAATCGATCCCAATAGATCTTCCAAGCATATTTTTGATTTTAAGGATTCAAACGAATAATATAAAAGTGAGAAGTGATAGAACTTTAATAATTATAACGTAAATATTATTAAAATGTATACTAATTATTATTATTAATTTTTTTTTTTTTTTTTATTTAATTGAGTTTTCCAGGACACATTGAGCCACGTGGTTACAGTTGTACTAAACGAAGAGATTTTGTTAAATGTGACTTTCGCACCTCCAAATCCGTTGTACGTGCTACCGAAGCAGGTCAATTTGCCATATATGTACGCTTACAACTTGGAGATTGTAATTCCTTCGGATTTCGACTCATGTTTTATTGTCATAAAAAGTTTTAAAGAAGTAAACAAGGCGCTGACGATGGGATATAAGCGCAATGTCAGTCCTGTAAGCTTTGCACGTAGTGACAGGTGACTTTTAAATAGGCCACTACTAACCTGGAGAACAGACGCCTTTTGCAGCCGTTCATTATGACTACCGACGCTACGTTGTGTACTGCGTTTAGCTTTATTACTCCTCTTTCCTACCAGTAGCATGCTACCGCCGGCATCGCTTGAAGATTTTATGTAACTAGTGGGCCTCCTCACCACAGTAAGATGGCAGTCCCCGAGGAGTACTGCCATCATGGAGTATAATATTATTATAGTAAATATTAATTATTATTTTAATATCATTATTTCTATATGTTATAATAGATTTACTTTTCCAGCTTTTCAGTAATTCACCAGAAATACTGATCTTAGAAGATCTAGGTATATATTGTGTTTATCTTATCACAACTATCGCCAAATTCTGTCATGTGTTATATATTTTTTATATAGTATAATATATAGTATATTGAAAACCCAAAATTTTTTAAGTTAATTTTTTGAAAACCTTCTAAGTATTTTTAAAGAGTTTTAAATAAATTTATAAATATTATTTAAAATAAAAGTATAATTGTTTAGTTTAAGTGGACGAGTAGTATTGATATATTGAAAATAAAAACAAATCCAAAACTTGATCAATTAATTAATAATAATGTAATTTATAAGGAAAAATGTATACTTAACAATTTATATTGATATTGATATTTATGTTTATATTTATATTTATATTTACTTTTATTAAACAAAAATGAATTAATTCAAATGCAATCACACAACATTGATTGGAACAACATCAACATCCATACTGGAAAAATGGTTGCAACGTTACTGACTTACCATCGGAATTCTTTTTTAGAAAAGTCGTGTCTGCAACTGACGAATCTTCGCTAAAACTCGGATTCATTGACTTGCCATTTTGTACAACTTCTGTAAAGTACAAATTTTGCTTTGAGTTCTCGTGTATTTTAAGGACTACATATCTTTTACTCATTACTCATTACAGATTACTGATTACTGATTACTGATTACTCATTTTGCTCTTAGGAACACCAAATACTTTCACACATTCAACCAAAAACTAATGTCAGTATGTGTACTAATGTCAGTGACTAATGTCTACTCCGCAGTGATAATTAGAGTTTTTTGTTTAATTCAGCTTATTTAAATTTAATATTATTTATTAATTATTAATGAAAAACTAAAATACCATACCAAAGATTCTTATAATATAATAATTTGTGGATTTTTATTTTTGACTTCATTTGGTTAAGCCACAAATACCGGAACGGACAATAAAAGTATCTTTTAGTTGCTAGCGCAAAACTACGATGGAGTGTGAAAATTATATACAAAATGTACTAAAATATTTTTTATTTAAAGTATAAATTTTAATTAATAAATTTCTATATATCTTACAACTACTGAATCTATTTTTTTATATTTTTCAAATATTTGTTAATATATTTTAAGTTGGAGATTTTAGAGCATTTTATGTACACTGCAACTACGAGTATTTTAAGGACGAGGATTATGAGAATTTTGGCGTGGGGTTCATGACTACTTAAAATGTGTTCTCTTGTGTACTGCATGCAATAGTTTTATGTCTGTGTGAAATTCACTACTTTGTGTTCCCCAATTTCCAAAAGTATTCATAGTGTATTTCAATATTACTACATATATACTATATTAACATATTACATATTATATATATAATATTAGCTATATTGTACCTAAAACATATATGATAGAAGTATCTGATAGTGTGTCTCTATAATTGATCTTAAATAATCTTAATCACTATATCTATATCTAATTTTTTGTTCCCTTGTCATACTAAAAGCATATATTCTTATCAGCATCCCAAATTTCCAAAAGTATTTATAGTGTATTTTAATATGTATTAATATATATATACTATATTAATAGTATACCTAAAACATATACGATAGAAGTACCTGATAGTGTATTTTTATGTAATATGTATTATGCATAGTATATATATACTATATTAATAGTACACCTAAAACATATACGATAGAAGTACCTGATAGTGTATCTTTATAATTGATATAGGTTTTACAAAAGGTCTGTTATAACTTACAAACGAAATTTTTCATTAATAGGGGTATTCAGGCAACTGATTAGTTGCTTAGTTGATTCAAAAACTTCATATAAAAAAAATTTAGCATTTTGATGTTAATCAGTTGCTTGAACGACCCAAAATGCGTAATCTGATTAGTTTGTTGTGTGTAAATGGCTTGGCAGCACTAGCATCAACAGCAAAAGTGAAACATACTTGTGTTTGCAAAATTGTTTACACACAATTCAAACAGCTGAAAGAGACAGCTAACAAATTTCTATACTAAAGTTCATTTTAAGTTATTATTACGGCACTTGGTACTGGCAGCACTATTAATCAAATTTGTACTAATCTGAGAATCACCGAAATAGTTGATTCTCTGCTTAGTTTCATTTTTGTGTGCAAATTTTTGTTGTAATCAACTACTAAGCAACTAATCAGTTGCCTGAATACCCCTAATATGTATTTCTCAAAACATACATAAATTAAAGAGAGGTTTCGAACACTACTGAATTGCAACAACATAAATTTTTATTTCATTTTCAATGAATTGAATTTTTGGCTAACCATATTAACTATATCGAGTATTGCCAAATAAAATGTTCACTACCGTAAAAACGGACATTAAAATCATATTTAATACAAAAATAATTAAATTAATTAAATTAATTAAAATAATTAAATATACCGAACTGAAGTGGTCTTTAAATTTAGAAAGGCAGTAGATAATTTACTTCTCAAAGTCAAATTGCAGGGAAATAGTGTGTGGTAGAAGGAAAACAATTTAGTAAAAAATGTTTCCAAGATAATAAAGTATCGATATACATTAATTCGATATTTTGACCAAATAATAGATCTGTATTGACTTAAATAACAGGTCTACCAAAATTTACAAACGAATAAAAAGATGTTTTAACACATTTTTGGCATAAGGAACGATTATTCGCAATGGGTGCTGCGTTTAGATTTTGTACTAAAAACTAAGTTTGAGTTAATTTCTAATCCTATTTCTATATCCAAACACAGAATACTACAGAAAATTAAAAAAATGAGTACATCACTAAAAAATTAGTATATATGCTTATACATAGGTATATGTAAATACATGTTTATATGTTTATATTATAGGTTATAGATTGTTTGTAAAAATCTGCAGCCACAGACGAAAACAATACCCTATGATATCCATAACTAAAAATTACACAACATAGGAATAAATGTTTTCACAGATATTTAGAAGAATGGATTCGGCACACTACTATTTATAAATACTATTCTAAATATTATATATATATGTAAATAGAAGTAATAAAAGTTCGTTAATAATTGGCTAATATGTCACGTATTTAATATCTCTGGCATGCTGATTTGACAACGGGTTCTAGTAGAGTCAGTAATTTTTTCCACTACACTATATGTATGCTCATATAGCTTACTTCTTGAGATATCAAAGATTAAATTTGCAAACGTTTTACATTGAATACCCTTATAAAAATCAGACTCTCGTAATTGGCTATAACCAGTTGGGAAAATCGTTTTCGAAGACATTTGGTTAACTTGTGAGACAATGTCTTCGAAGACCGTCATACATTTGGATCGATTAGTCTGCAAGCATGTGTACATGTATTTAAGATGTCTTCGATAACGAAACATTCCGTTAACTACTGGGTAGTATACACAAAATTTACATTGATTATACAAACAAACGACAATATCTGGGATTATTATTGGTGGTCGTCATTTAAATATAATCAAATTTTGAACTCAGTATTTCGATATCTAAGCTTATATATTGATATAAAGTTTATATATTGATATTTGAGCTTATTATAATTTATTATATGACGTCATAAAAAAAGTTAAACAAAATAGGTGACTCTACCAGAATCCATTGTTAAACTGAAGTGCCGAGAAACTTCATTCATTAATAATAGGAAACTAAAAGTTATATATAGTCTAATGTAATTATATAGGTATCATTTAATATTACATATAATGTATTATACATAATGTATGTATTATATATACATGTAGGTAATAAAATTTAATATGATTATTATATTATTTTAAATTTGAGATTATTTTAAGACTATTCTACATTTAACATATACTTATTAAGTCATAGGTTATAGGTCTGCTAATAGTTCTGCACACTATCTTTGTGTTTATATCCTTTAACATACATATTTATTATACATATATACATACATAAATGAATATATGAATACAAAATACATACTATACATACGGTATATAATAAAAATTATAGACTAGAAGTACGTGTGTATAGAATCAGTCCTACATGGGCCCACATAGATATTATTTGTATGAGGATTAATATTTGCCTGGCTGTATAGCATCAAGAGTATTATTAAGTAATTTGTTGTTGGTTTTAAGCAAAAGTTAAACGAAAATAATTAAAATAGAAAATTGAGAAAAAATTTATAAAAATATTAAGCATTTTTAAAGCGGTCATGCGTATGTACAGGATTTTCTCCATATTTTGGCTTACCTAAATTCTCCACCGACGCATTCATTTCGCGCAGTGTACGTGCGTAACGCGTACCTCCTCGAATGGTCCCCTGTGGCTTAATGCCGCCACCATCGCCTGGCGACTGCATAGCTGGAGTCTTATTCCGTCTTATGGTAGGCAAACGTGCCACAAATGACGCGTTGTGCTTGAAACTAGAGGATCCACGCCTAATGGAAATAAATTGAAACTTCAGTGTTACACGCAAATGAAATGAAAATAATTGCGAATGCAATAAAATTTAAGTGTTTTTTTATATTTAAATGTGGGTACATAATTAAATTATTTGTGTTATTGGTACATTAGTTACTTAGGATGCTGCTGTGAAGTGGTTCACTATGCGAGTGAACTAAAATGATTAAATTAATGCAATAAGAAGCATTTAATTATGCAATATATAAATTGAATTATCATATATCGATATATACACATACATATATATATATATAAGTTATAGTTATTCACATATTGATATTCATATTGATATTAGTACATATAGTTAGAGGGACGTGCATACACCATCGATTCATGACACCACACGATAGATAGATACCAGCATATGCATTTGACGGCAAGAGTTTCAAAATATTTATATGAGTTATATGTCGATTGGTGAGATAGATAGCTTTTACTTTTTAATAAAATGTATTAAATATATAGTATATATGTATATAGTAAGTAAAATAGCAAATATAATTTATTTAAAGTGATATGAAATAAATGTATTTATAATATATTGAGTAAAAAAGTCAGGGTATCATGCATGCAAGTGTTTATAGTTCATAAGGAAGGAAAATACTTAAACCATTTATATTTATAAGTTTTAATGGTGATTAATATGTATATATTTTAATTGATGTTACAAGATGTATAAAAATATTAAAATATAATAAAAATTTTAAAGCCTATATTTATGCTACTTATTACACTTTTTTGTATCTTAGTTATTTTAAAGTGCTTGTGCCATGCACCAATTAAGAATTTGCGATCAATTTATGTGCAAATTACTCATTTTTTATTTATGTATAATTAATTATAGTTCGCAATTTAAATATACTCTGAACTCATATTCATTAATTAGAATAAAAGAAATTATGCCTTAAATATTCTCTGAACTCGTATTCAATAATTTAAATAAAAGAAATATGCCTTATCCTCATATTCATTGGTTTTTATTAAAGTAATTATGTCCCTATAGTCTTATCCGAAAGACTGTTTATAAGATCATAAATACAATTTAGGCAATTGCGAAAGAAAAAACCTTCAGGAGAATAAAAACAGGTCCTTAAATACATTCATCAATATAATAAGAACTATAGATATATAGCAAGGCAACTTCGAAAACTTGTAGGTGAAATTGACTTCCTTAAATAATTCCATATCAAATATTTTTTACCATATAAACTTAAGCCCCCACACACACAAACACAGTAATCCCAAATATTTGAAAACTATTTCGTGTCGTACCCATTAAATAGACCTATCCTATTCGATCATCATCATTCATCAATTCCTGTATCTCCCATTGGAGCATAGGTTCACCTATTCGATACTGCTCATTTAATATAGTAGTTAAAAAAAAGTATGTTAAAAAAATATTTTTTACTAGTTAACTAATGAAATAACTTTCACATGAAGGAACAATATACTTAATCTATGTACTTGTCTAAGATAATTTTCAATTAACATCTGCTCAAGAAAATATATGTAATAGGTACATAAAAACCAGTAATAAAAGTAACTGTAAAACACCATTGTATTGTAGTAAGATGCGGTATTTGGTATTGATGAGTGATATACCTTTTACTTTATGAAAATGACAAAAGTATCCGATTGTAATGATCGCTACATAAGTCCGCAGTCGTTCCACATGTTTAACTGCTTACCTGAGGACAGCTGTTCCTAGAACACATATCAACTAAATGTTCCGAAACGCTTCATATCTAAGTATTCCACTGGTTACTACACTTATTTGCGTGGATATAGGTTTCTTTTTGCTAAGGCGTAAGGTCATTCTAAGCTTTTTTAGGTCACAGTACCCGGCTGAAAAAACGCTATCTTAATAGCAACTCCAGATATTGATAGAAAACACACATGCTAAGTTTCTTCCTGCATAAGTTAAAGTGTCAACCCAACCCACTATGATACTCTGTAACGAAATTAACCTAGTGTGTAGAACAGCCAAAGATGAAAACACCTGGATCACGTAATATCAGAATTCACCTCTGATAAACTGCTGCAACATAATATAGAGTAATGCCTAATGGATTTTAGTACGCTTTTATGACAGGTATGCCTTACCTCGGGAACATTCTAATCCCTCCCCTGAAGAGAAAACTGATCAATAAACCAAATTAAAACCAATTTTTTTTTGTCGTTTGTTTTTTGCTTTTCACGTTTCGCTGAGGTGACTTGAGCCCTAAGATGTTGCAATATGTTATCACGTGGTTTTTTTTTAGGGAAAACGTAAGAAATCCTTTTATGTGGACAACCGTCAAACTCTCGACACTTTGAAAAGTTTTGACAGAAATCCATCAAGTTATGAACGAACTATTGCCAGCTATATGCCGGCAAATAACTGAAAATGACGTTAAAACGTAATGTGAAGAACACTTCCATGATGTATTTCACATCATGGCCAGGTCTAAGCAATATATTGAAATAAAAATTTGATTGAAACCTCTATTTATTATTTATGATTATTCTTAGAATCACAAATTTCTTATTTCCTGATTTAAAGCAAAGAAAACGTGATTTGAAGTTCTGTAATCAATTGTTTCTTCATAAATTTAGTACACATTTAGTTTCCTTAATACTGATATAATACATTAATTTAGTTTTCCAGTAGTTCTGCTAAAACGACTGCACAGATAGTTTTCAGGCCGTCCATTATGTTATTGGGCCGTCTGATACTAGATTACTTCCTAAGATGAATTTAAACTACACATAGTACTAGCATGAAACTTGAATGATATGTTATAATTAGAATTTCTACATAATAAATAGACTTCATGACTTCATAAGTTTTTACATAGTTAATACAACTAGAACTGATAATCCACATTTTTAATGCCAAATAATACTGAACTGAATAGTATAAGGAAAATATCAGTTAAATATTTAACAAGTATATATTTATTTAACAATAAATACTTATGAATACATAATGAATTATTGAAAATATGTAGCATATGGACTTTAATGGATCAGACATTGAAAGGTACAGTATATTTCAAGTAATAAAGTGATACCTGAATCGACTATATTACTGGAGTTATAGTTACTTAAATTGACTAATTTGATTTAGAATGCACCCTGAATTGGTGTCACTAATAGTTTTATAATAATAATGCAGAATAACATACTAAATAGGCTCTAAAGTGAGATTTACTAGGAATATATTTACGTAGGTGTTTACGTACCTATTATCTAGTTCGAGTTGGAGTTAATGAAACTTTAATAATTTTATGCAAATATAATTTTAAAGGTTTTGAATAAATATAATCTTAAACTTCTTATACACTTAAACTTTATCAATTGTTTTTCAATAGATAATGTATTCATCTGGTACTAATACTATGATATTGATATCAATCTGAGAGATATTTTATTGGGATTAAAATTTAATACTAGCGTTTATATGTTTTTATTTTGAATGGGCACAGTTAATATTCCAAATTATGAGTTAAGTCAAATTACATATAAGTAGGGAATTAAATTCAGAATAACTTTTAAGGACCATAAGAAATTGAAAATTATTTTATTTTTAAAAAAGCAAAATTTTGATAAAGCTGGTTTGAATATGTAGTATATAATTTTTACCTATCTTCGACGACATGTCTAAAAAACTTATCCGAAAGGTCTGAACTGAAACAATAATAATAAGTCTTATGTAAAATTTGATAACTTATTTAACAATATAAGACAATACGCCATTAGTGGGATGCGATGAAGGAATTTTGAAAGCAATATCCAATAAAAAAGCTGGATGTTTGGAATAGTCAATATTAATTAAGTGTGCAGTGTTCACTGTTTAAGTGTGCAGTTTTTACTACTTTGTCTTAATATAAAATTGTGGTGCTGTAGTAAAGCAATAAAGTGTTTATTGAAGCAATTTTTTTGTATGTAAAAGGCGGAGATGACTGTTGTAAGTTGCCACTTGTTTCAAGCTTTTGTACATAAAAATAGTTTGAGGTTTCACTGTGATGTAGTGTTGTCAATTGAGTTTACTGTTTCTTGAAAATTGTAAATAAAAATGTGTAGCTTAAGAATTATTTTTATAAAAGGAGAAAAAAACTAGTCTATATATGTAGTACAGTACAGAAATAGTTAGTTATATATTGCTATTATTTTTACTATAGACGTATGCTAAAAAGTTTTAATTATGAAAGGTGAGAATATAAAGTTTAAAAAAAATTGTTCAAAATAAGAATTTTTAGGAGTTTATTTATATGTATTAAAGTAACAGATTAAAATATTTAGCAAAGTTATTTAATTAAAGAAGAAATTATTTCAAAGACTGATATCGTACATTGCCCAATCAAATACATGGTGGAACGTAAATGATATATGGTATATGAAGAATCAAAAAGTAGCTATTCCAAAATAAAACTTTTTTTAAATGGTGTAGAAAATAATAAATTCTTCACCGATTTTCAATACTAAGATATAATTAACATTTTAAAATACAGAAGATTTCTAAACCTTCGGAAAAATTTGATGGAAATTGACATAAAAATAATTATTTTTAAATAAAATTAGATGCTTGGATATCTTTAGGTATATTGCAGAAGGTAATGTGGCTAGTAGTATTAGCATAGAAATGCAATACTTGTCTTCGATCAAACAATACCTATCTGGGTATACCTTCCAATATTAATACCTTCTTTGTGCAAGAAGGATTAGACAATGGATAAAAGGTGAAAAGATTAACGTCTGATTTAAGCTATAACTCTTGTTATTCTATCAATCTCTGTTTTGCTAAGTTGAACGCGACCTTTAACTTTTTAATAAAATGCACGTTTTTATCAGTGACTAGCTGAGCTAAGTGATAGCAAATGTGGATTCTCCTAAATTTAAGCCAATGAAAAATTAAAGTTTGATAATTACTATTTCAGCTTATGGATGATAATCATGAGTTTATCAGGTCGGCTGAGTGACTGTCGGAGATATGCATTGTTCTAAATAATCTTCGAAAAAAATCGAGCCAATGTAAACTTTAAAAACATGAATCTTTAACATTGTCATGTCAGCTTGAAGAAGATGATTGTAACCTTAACAGAATGCTGATTAAGAATACGTTGGGTTATGTTACCTTCAAAGTCTCGTTTTTCTGTCCCAAATATTTTTCTCAAAGTTATGCAATCAAATAATTTTTAGATCCAGAATGTTCTCAAGTGCAGCTCCAACAACTGAAATGTCGAAATGGTTTAGAGAATTCGACAGAAATTGTTTAGAGAATAATCAACCTATACTAATAACTCTGGAAATAATCTAATTACTAAAAGGATACTCATATATAAATACCCTCAACTAAATTTTGATATTGTATATAATATTGGATGATACTCATTTTCAATATATGTTGTGGGTTATATCAAAACTGCTTCTGGATAATGGAAGCACATTAATTTAAAAATTAAATTCATAAAAACTATTGTATTTACAAAAATTAAAAATTTTTATTCTTTTTGGCAGAACAGAAAATTGCAAAATAGTTAGAAATGTAAAATGTAGTTGTGATTGTACCTGGAGCTATTTGTAAATCTGAACGACCACTACTACGTTGGATATTCATTTTTTGTTAGTAAAGCTATCCAAGCAGATTTCACTAATGACAACAGAATACTTAGATTCCAACAACCATAACTGAACTAAGAACTCATTCTAACTTAAGTATAGAATTTATTACTAATTTAAGTACAAATTTTATATAGACGTGATGCATTAAGCAAATGAGAACATGGGACAAAATGCCATTCAATTAAAGTAAATCTATAATTTAATTCCTCGTTCGAGCGACTACTATTTGTAATATATCTCCTCTATTCTTCTTCTCTTCTCTTCTAGGGAAATATTTAGTTTCAGTTTAAAAATATAATAACCAGATGACTCTTTATGGAATTATAATGGAAAGTTTCGAGATTTTTGACCTCTCACATAACTTATGGAAACTAAATTGAATACTTTAGATTCAATGAAACATGTATCACCGACTTCTGGTAACCAGTACTACGGTACTTCATTTTTTTACTTTTATATTATAAAAATACTACTAATGATATTATAAAATTTTACTTCATTTACTTCATTCTAATAAAATTGAAAATTATTATAAAAAAATCTTTTATTTCTTTGATATAGCTGTGTGATCATAATAATATATATGTATATAAAAGCAGCAGCAGACTTTTAAATTTGATTAAGGAGCATTGGACAATAAACATTTCCTCAGATTTCAAATTATAACTGCATATATTAGTCTCTCGATATAACGAAAGAGATGGCGTCATATATATCACAGAGGACATATTCAATATACTAGGAGGATTGACTTTACAACTGGTGAAAACACCAGAACAAAATCATTTATATTTTGTATATTTGACAAGTTTTAAACAATAGCTGTAAAAGTTTTGATTTCTTTAGATGTTTGCAAATAATTGAAATAGTGCACCTGATGATTTTTAATAAAATGCAAAAAATTTAATATCATTCAGTAATAAAATTCCTTCATTTGACAGGAACCAACAATGATGGAATCAAATTGGAAATGAATTTTGTTTACGACAACCTTGCACTATCACTAACAACAATAGTTGAATATTGGAAAGCTGAATTTAAACGTGGTCGAACGACTGTTTTCGATGAAAAGCGTCCGGGTCATCCAAAAGAGGTCACAATTGAAAAAAACATTGAAAAAATCCACGATATTGAGCTTGATGATCCAAAAATAAAATTACGTTAGATACCAGAGATAACAAACGTGTATTCAATATTTTACATAAATATTTGGCTATAAAAAAGCTTTTGGCAAGATGGGTGGCGGGTTTGCTCACAATTAACCAAAAACGACAACGACTTCGTCATTCAAAACATTGTTTGGAAATGTTTATGTACAAAGTAGCTGACTGTGAGCATTGAATAGTGACAATTGATGAAATTTGAATCTACTTTTTCACACCTGAAGGAAACAACAAGCCAGAAAATAGATAGAGCCCGGGGGTAGTACTCCCAAACGACCATGAACTCAACAATCGGCTGGAAAAGTTTTGGTTTCCGTATTTTGGAAATCAAGTAGAATAATTTTCATTGACTATTTTGAAAAAGAAAAAACAATAACATCAAACTACTATTGCGTATTATTGGATCGATTGATTGAGATAATCAAGAAAAAACGTCCAAATTTGTCAAATAAAGAAATTATGTTTTTACAGGATAACGCACCCACTCACATGTCAATGAAAATAATGACAAAATTAAATGAATTACGGTACGAATTGCGAATTGCTTACCCACCGTATTTTCCAGATTTGGCTCCCAGGGTCACCTGTAACCTGTTTTCAAACTTAAAAGGATGGCGCCAGGGAAAGAGATAAAGTGGAATGAGAAACTGAGATATATTTTGGAGGACTTCATTAATCGTATTATTTAAAAGGTATTTATCAATCCATATAGAATTTGTGATTTATAAAAGTTCAATAATTTCTTATATAGAGGGTTTCATCTATCGGGTATTTGTTAGATCTAGAATCTATTGTATATCTTGACTATATTGAAGAGTTTTTTACTTAGACCGGGTATTTATCAATCCATCTAGTATTTGTGATTTGTAAAAGTTGATAGTTTGTTATGCAGAGGGTTTAATCTATCGGGTATTTGGTAGATCTAGATTCTATTGTATATCTTGACTCTATTGAAGCATTTCCGTTATTTAGACCGGGTATTTATCAATTCATATAGTATTTGTGAGTGTAAAAGTTTGATCATTTGTTATATAGAGGATTTGATCTATCGGGTATTTGGTAGAGCTAGATTCTGTTGTATATCTTGGCTATATTAAAGCGTTTTTTTACTTAGACCGGGTATTTATCAATCCACCTTGTATTTGTGATTTATAAAAATTTAATAATTTTTTATATAGAGGGTTTGATCTATCGGGTATTTGGTAGTTCTAAACTCTATTGTATATCTTAACTCTATTGAAACGTTTTCGTTACTTAAACCGGTATTTATCAATCCACTTACTATTTGTGATTTGAAAAAGTTTGATAATTTGTTATATAGAGGGTTTGATACATCTGGTATTTGTTATATCTAGAGTCTAGATTCTTAAACTACCTGTGCCTACTACTATGTTATGACTTGTTAATATTATGTTATTATATAATATATTATGATATATGCATTTAAATAATTAACACTGGAGATTCACTAGAATCCATACTGTAACCCAAACCATACATTACACCACCATCACCACATCGTGTTAGTATTCTACTTAAATTAATTTCTACTAAACTTAAGATACTAAAGTTACTCGTACTGCCATCTGCTGAAATACTTTGACTACTGCGGTACGTTTAAAAGCTGTGTATTGCCCATTCAACAATTAGCATTTTACTCCATATTTCAATGAATTTTCAAACTTACTACTCAACTTAAGAGGTACACATATAGTAAATGTAATGAAACAAAAAAAAATAAGATATTATAAAAAAGTGAAAATACTTTAATATTGGATTGATAATGCAAGTAATAGACATTTCGAATCGATTGAAAATAATTTAAAATAAAAAATGTGAACTTAAATTCGAAATAGAAAATTACTTTTGTGTAAGAACGTGCGTGTGTTTCGAAAGCATTGTATGCAAATATAGTTTCGAGTATATATGGTAGATACATTACATTGTAGTAAGATATTTATGTACGAGTAGATACTGTTGATACTGTATGCCATATTTATTTGCTGTATTTTATGGATATTTTATAGTTGACATAAAAAGGTGAATTAGCCACAAATAGTTTACTTGAATGCAACAAATATGAATATTGTAATATTGACTATTTTGGTTTGGTATGAAGTATAAAATCTTTTATTTGAATGCATTTTAGACTTTTTGTTCTTTACCTATATTCGCTTAAATTTTTAAATAATCTATCCCAATACTCTGAACTGAAAAAATAAAAATATTATTAACATTTATGTTTATAAAATAAATAATAAAATTAATTAGTAACAGAAATTGTTAAATTAAAAACAAAACACAGTAACGATGTACGAGTGTATGTGTATGTATCTTAAAATTCATGTAGTCATTTACATACTTATATGTAGTTTTCTCTGATATTTCTCGAAGAGTTTTAATATAAATTTAGTCACATATAACAATTAAAAGCGTTGTGTAGGCACCATACATACATTATTAATTATTATTTTAAATTTATTTAAGCACAAAACGAAACATTGAAATAATTAAATCAATACATACGAACATCATAACACAATAATATAAATCAGTAACTCAATAAACTACCAAAAGCTATTGCGATGTCTTATGAGAGAGATATATAAATACTCCATTACAGTAGACAACTTATAGAATATTGGTGCCAAGAATTTGGACATAATGAATTTGGAAAGAATTTGGACATAATGATAAGAATTTAAATTATTCCTTAGACTAGGTAAGGTTATAACGGCTATCCCTAGGGAATTTACTTAGGTCTATTAGCCTATAGTGTTACCGTATAAATAAGAAAACTCAGGTTTAAAATCATGTAGAATCTTTGGCGAAGCTCAAATTGCTGTTAGGTGTCATAGGATTAAGATTCTCAAGAAAGAGGGCTTTTAAAGTGTTGAGTTGCCGCTGTGCTTGAGCTAGACAAAGACGCAGTAGATAAGAGGCACTATCATAATCTTCCTCACAGCTGCGACAGGTACGATTGAAAGGGAGATTCAAGCTTCTAGCTCGGTTCTCTAGTTTGTGCTAAGCTGTAAGTAAACCTCCCATAAAACTGACATCTCGACGGGGCATCTCAATGAGAATATTGAATTTCCTTTTAGTGATAAATGGCCAAATTGCGTACAGATGCCTGCATAACGTTGAACTTATCTCTTAGTTTTTTTTCTTGATTTAATTTAAGAAGAATTTAAGAAGGAGCGAAAGAAAGAGAGAGAGAGAGGGAGAGATTATTATTGAGACATTAAAACCCAATCATCTCAATGAAGCCTTATGCTCTATGAGGAGAAGAAGACTACAGTAACTAAGTAAGTAATCTAAATTCAGTTCATAAAAATACTGTTCAATAACAGATGAAGGGCTATGTGTTCTCCACATTTTCGAGACACAATTGTGCATATGTGATGCCATTCTATATCGTACCTTCTGATTACTCCGATCAGTACTTTGGGGTGTTCTCAAAGTGTATCATAAAAACGTATCGTATCCTTATTAAATATAGACAGCATCGCCAAACGCTATGATGGTGGATAGTGGACGAAACAAAAAACAGCAATATTACATGAAACGTGGCGAATTTTCAAATATTGTGTACTTTAAAGAGAAAAATGTACTTATTAAACAGTTCATAATCTCTCAAAATAATCGTGCTTCCTTAACTGAACGCACTGCCGAAAATTTAAGATAACGAACGACCGGCCACCCAAAGTAATTTTCCATCTGAAGTATAGTAATGGTATAGGCAGCTGTGACCGCCGTTGAATGCTCTCCAATTGTTTTCATCGAAGAGGCTCGAAGTCAATGTGACTAATAACCGGGAAAATGTTTTGGAAGTTGCTTTAGAGCCATGGGAACACAAAAATTTCGGCGTTAGAATATAGACGTTTCAATAAGACTTGGCACCGGTTTCAATCACATAAAGCTCGTGTGAACCATGAATGGATAAAAAATCATGTTCCACACTTTATTTTGTCCACACAATGGCTATCGAATTTGACAGATGCAAATTCGATGGACTATTCCATTTGCACCATTTTGGAGAGCAAGATGAGGACCGAAAAATATGCCAGTATAGATGCGGTGAAGAAAGTCATTGTACAGAAATTGGCCAAAATACTGGAAGATCACATTTGTGAAGCATGCAATTTATTTTTTCACTGTTTGAAGGCCGTAAACAAGGCATAAGGTGGTCACATCGAGCTAGAGTTAATGGATTCAGAAATTTCAATTATTTGTATAAAATTTTTTAATTTGAATTAATAAAACAAATAATTTCACACAAAAAAGATGTGGTCGCTTGAATAGGTAACACTTCAATCGCTTAATATTTGTTATTTCTTACATCAATAATTAAGAATTTTTGTATGAATCTTATACTTTTCATATTTTATTTAATTAAGATGTTGTTTTAAATAAATATTTAGAAACCCATTAAATTGCTTATACAAACTCAAATAATTTTTTGAATTTTGTTTATAAATTGTAAGTAGATTATAAGGTAGGTTCTTTTTGAATTAATGGTGAACAAAATTCTGTCTAAATAAGAAATTGATATCAATGGAAAAATTTAAGCTAAATTTCAAAATTTATAATTAATAAAATTTTTTTATAATTTTTTATGAAAACTGTATCTTTCATACGTACATTTCTCGACAAATTCTAACTTGTTTTTTTTTCATCGATAAGAGTTATTATTGCTATGGCAGCTGTCAAAACAAAGGTCTTAATATAATCAGTGCTGTCTACAGGTTTGTTTATAAAATAGTGATAATATCAAATTTTGGTAGCTAAAGAGAGGTTTGACGTATTTTAACTATAACAAACCAAAAATCAATAATAAGATACTTTTTTTTTTAAAAAAAAATATTTTAAACAAAATGAGATTATTTAATCATAAATAATGTAAACGTATAGGAAAATTATTAAAAATACTAAAAATACTTATTGTTAAGTTATTTTTATAAACAATTGAATTTTCTTCTCTATATATCTACGCTAAGGTTTTGTGTATAATTAGTTAAACAAAGTAAATTTATTTGATAACTGAAATTAGTTTTCTGTTAGTTTTCAATTCGCATAAATGTCTTCAATTTTCAATCTATTATTATATATTGAAACTCAGTATATATATAAGCTATGCACAGCTTTAGTATTTAAAATTCTGTTCATACACTTTTTACATATTTTTAAACAATTTTTAATACTTAAGTTATGTACTTAAGAAATTTAAGGTATGTCATTTGCACTACATTTTTCAACCTCATCTGATTAAACCCATATACTAAAAATATATTCTGCAGCCTGAGCTAACGCTAATATTGTCAAGTGTTTAATAAAAATTATTATATCTTTTATTATAATATTATTGTATATAATTTATTTCATATTTCTAGTTATCACTACTATACATAAAAATATATTTACAACGAATTGCTAAAGATTTGATAGAAGGGCTAAGTTAATTAAATCGAGAACTCGGCTTAGGAATTCACATCCTAATATTATTCTATTAAATGAGTACTAGAATACTAAAGGCTAAGAATATATTTAGGAGTCATTCATGGAGTACGCCCAGATACAAATTAAATCACACTTTCACTATATTTTCAAGTTCAAAAATGGATGGAGGCGCTGGTGTTGGTATATATAAACCCAATACCAGAATATCGATGGCAAGAGAAAAATGGCTCGAGACTTATTATTTACTCTGATAGCGAGGATGTTATTAAAGCTCTGTCTTTTTGGACTTTCAAGTCGAAACAAGTTCTTGAGCATTGCGAGTTTCTATAGTTACTTGCAGCTCGGAATAAGGTAAATCTTTACTGGGTTCCGATGCACAGAGGAGTTTTGGAAAATGAATGAACTGATGAGCTGGATCAGAAACTGTTTTTACAGGTACTCAACCTTGTTGTGAGTTAAAATGGGCCAGTACAAAATAAATAAACAAGAAGAGAGAGAATCATATGCGGCTAGTGTACTGGAAAAACTTCTCAGGAATTAGACAAAGCAAAGTAGTTTCCTCATTGAAGATGACTGTGCAGCTTTAACAACGCACAGAAAAAACTTATTTCATATGAAATTTCTGTCACCGGAACAGATTGAGAGCTATTCTTTAGATTTAGTTCTGGACTTTGTTCACAAGGCTTTAAAGGGCTTTGAGTAATCAATAGTGATATTGGTGTAATAGGATTGTTTAGGTCCCTGGACATAGGGACATCCAAGGCAACTGTATAGCAGATGAATTAGCAAGACATGGTACGACAGCATAAACTCTTCTGGGAAAAGAAAGTGTGGGTATACCAGTTGCTTCTTGTCGGCACCGAATAAAATTATGGACATACCAAATGTTTGAAAGAAGATGGTCAACAGTAACCAACTTGCATAAAAACCAAGAAATTTTGGCCAAAAATAAGTAAGAAAAGATCGGGGGAATTAATCAACCTATCCTGAACAAATTTATCCAGGATAGTGGGAATTATTACGGGACACTGCCCGTTGGGAGGACATGCCGAGAGGCTCAACATCAGGACCTCCTTACATTGTAGGCATTGCATGGAGGATGATGAAGAGGAATCACCAACACACCTTCTGCTACAGTGTCCTGCCTTTGCAAGACATAGACTGTCCTACTTAGGAGCGCACTTTTTCTATTCACTAAGAGAGCTAGATTTTATTTCCATAGCTCGTGTCAATGGCTTTGTAGCCAATACCAAGTGGTTATAGGGACAGGTGTCAAATTCTTTAGGGTATCACAATGGACCTCATGGTCTAAGTGAGTCTTCGGACGGCCCCAGTAACCTAACCTAACCTAACCTAACCTTGGTGCAATAGGAGTCTTCTCGCCGCAATACAGGCTATTGAGCGATTTCACATATATAATTTTAATAATAATATACAATTTTGTTCCTTTGTTGGGTTAGCTATTTTTACATAATGATTGTCAGACATAGTCTTAGCTTGTATTTATATCAATTATAACATACTATACTGTAACGGACTGTGGTTTTTTCCATATAATATAATTGCTTTCTCCATATAATTATGCCATATAGTTTCTAAGATATACTTCACATAATGTAAAAAAATTATGATCAAAAAATATGTTAAGGATCAGATGTTAAAAGGTATGTTGAATGTTAACAGCGTGGTTGTGCTGTCATATTTTTATAAAATACTGATAGATCAGACGAAACCTGTTAGAGAAAAAGCAGGTGATCGTTACTACTGATGATTATAGTTGTAATCCAGTTTTAACAGTTAGGAAGTACCGCAACCGACTCTAAATTGAACCACATTACTTATCATTTAATGACCTTTATGTTACAATTAGATGACCTTTACTATTACTTTACTGTAATATATAATAATATCCTGCGACTGATAGCAGAAGTCATAGTCATATAATGCCAAACCATATTTATTACATAGGTTCGAGGTTATCCGAATTTAAAAACACGCAATTTCGGAACCTATAATAAATATAAGTATATATTTTTAAATAGACTTTCAATGTATTAATATTAGAATAATTTTTGATATATTGAAAGTTTTGCTATTTTTGATATATAACATTACATATTGTATATGATTATGTGTTATGCGAAATATAATACCCACTCGCTGAGTTTGAACTAAACTCTACATGTCTAATTTTTACATTGCATAGTGGTTTAAAACTATATATAGCCGTATGAAATTCATGAAATACACTACTTTTGTTTAGCGTGATATGATGCATAGTAACTTAATATAACTAGTACGTGTGAGAAATTTTGAGGCCTTCCATAACCTAAAACAAAGTTTTACAACCGTTACTCTGCGGGCCCCCGCGGGAATGGGCTTATAATATTCTTGCAATAGGTGACTAGAATCTAGTAGGTAGCTAGAAATAGGTACTTAGTTTGGAGTTTAAATGGTGGTCAGTGACTTTCACTTGCGACATCTGAGCGAAGATTTAAATCAGCTACCGCAAGTATCTGAACTCACAGCTTCGGCTGTCTCAAATAAGTGAGGTTGCCTCTTTTTAATGGATATATAGGTGTGGCTGTGGTTAAAACTCAAAATTGCGTGGGTAGAATTATGGTATGCGTTTCTTTCATTTGATGAAGGGTTTGAGCTCTAAAGAACGGCAGAGATATTACATAAGCTTCGTTTTCTCCCAAGTAAGATACTATATCTATGCTTATGATTTTAAGTGGTATCAGCAGAATTTCTTGGAATTCCAATTGGGACTCTTATAAGAGTTATACTAATACGTATGTTAAAAGCATTATAGTGTTAAGTCTTAATGGTAGGTAATAATGAACTTTGCTAATCTGCGGGCCGCTACCGAATGGCGATTTTAATACTATCCGTACTTTAAATATTCCATTTTCGCCTTTAATGATATTATTTTAAGGAGAACCTTAAAATAATATCTTAAAATCTTAAAATAATATTTTTAAGGAGTATCGGTATTTGCAATAAAAAGGGCTGAATATTCAAACGGCTTTTATAGAACACCAACTTGTTAACTGAGTTATAAAATAACAGAGAAAAGTAGCGGCTCACATTCGATATAGTACATGTACAAGTACATGTACATTGTGACCGAAAAGTTTCCGGAAATTTTAAATAAAACGCAAAATTCTTAATCTTCAGCAATATTTATTTTATCTCCTTCAAAATACGCTCCATTAGAAGCGATACACAAATGCCAACGTTTCTTCCAATCATCAAAACATTTTTTATAGGCGCTTTCCGGTATGGCTTTGAGTTCCCTCTGCGAATTCTTTTTTACGTCTTCTATGGATTCAAAACGCGTTCCTCTGAGTGTTGGAATTTTACAATGCTCCTAACTTAAGATCGTGAAAACCCCTACTGAATACTTTTTCGTTCCCCATTATGTTTTGGATAGAATGTCTCTGAGCTATAATATTGTTCTGTTATTATAACCAGATAATTCTTAATTGATCAAAATTCCTAGTAGCAGTATAAGCCGACTACTAATAACCAGTATGTAATGAACAATATTAATAATTCATTAGAATGAGAATATCTTAATATTAACAATATAATGTATTAATATTAATAATATTAATAATAATAATGTTAATATTATTTTATATATCTGGTATTTGATTTAAGTTTCATATAGTATAGGGCGTAGTTTGTTCGTTCTTGTTTATTTAATTTTTATGGGTTATTAAACATGGAATTTCCATATATTTTTTTTTTGTTTTTAGTGAGGTACTTAAAAAAGAGGTAAGAGCTGTGTGTCATGGCTCTGAAAATATTAAATTTGTAGAAAAGAAAATATTATATTAATAAGTATTTTAATAAACAATCAAGTATGATGTGGTACGTAAACAGAATGCGAATTGATTTCTATTTGGGGGCGTTTTCGTATACGAGTATAAAAAATGAAGTGCTCCGAACTATATTTTATTACTACGAGTACAGCAGCACAAACAAAAATAAATTGCTCCATAAAAGCAGAATAGAAGCACTTAGTTTGCTATTTTGGGTCTTTTCCCATTTTTGCCTTTACTACAAATTATATGATTGTCATAAAAATAAGTGCAAACTTAACATTTTGGTTTTCGGCATCCTTATTGCCTCATAGTCAGAAATTTTATACAAAATTTATATATTTTGGGTTGAAAAATGTAGTGCTGACGAATAACTCAAATACATTGAACATGTTTATGTGTTAAGAGTTTAAATTGAATTTGTTGTACTTACGATGCAGGCGGACTGGGTAAAGGCATTTGATGTATCTTCCAGGTTGCGATTGAGAGTGAATGTTCGTCAGCCGCATAACAACGCCAAACCGATTGGATGAGTGTTGCCGCTGGTTGCCGTCGCCGTATCATATGTTTCTGTCGCTGTTGTTGTTGCACCTTCAGGGCAAATCCACTGCCCAATATGCCCTTTAATAGAGTAATAGTAGTGTAATGTATAATATCTAAATGTATCTAGATGCTTTTACATACTGCAGGTAAAGCAAAGAAAGAAATTCCTAGTAAAGCACAAAACGATGCTATGAGTTTGCCTTGCCATGTTTCAGGCACCATATCACCGTAGCCGACTGTACAAAGAGTTATCTAAAAATAGGAAAACGTGACATATAGCGTACTTTGTTTCTATTAATAAAAATAAAAAGTTGGTAACTTGTTACTTACCACGCCCCACCACAAAGCCTGTGCGAAATTACTAAATTTAGCGTTTATATCTTTTTCCATTAAATAAACAAGAAATGATGCAAATATGAGACCTAGGAAACCTATATACATAGTCGTTATCAGTTCCTGTAAGGGATGTGCAAATTAATATATAATTAATTATTTTTATAATATTTATTAATATATATATATATATCTATGTTTATTGTTAATATAATTAAAATTTATTTATAATTGCATATGAGTGGATATAAATAAAAAGCAACTAAACTGGTTTGGAAAAAGGAAAAATGGGGAAAAGGGGATTTATTTGACACTGCATTATTCAATTTATTAATTTTTTGATTAATTAATGAATTAATAATAATTTTGCTTTTTCACGGGCTAATTGGTCAATAGTTGAATAATACACTTTTCAAATATTTTTTTTTCTTCAAAGATTTTATTTGAACCGATATTTCGACTATTTTCTGTAGTCATCAGGGGTCATAGTACCCCAATAATGGCTATAAACTATAGATGTAGAATACATATAGCATAAGAATATAAATATATATATTTATATATAAATAGAATATATACTATAGATATACATAAATATCGGTTCAAATAAAATATTTTAAAAAATCAGATATCATAGTACCCTGATAATGAATATAAAATATAATCGAAAAAACGGTTCAAAAACCGGACCTACTTTTTTTGGATTTTTAAAAAGTGTATTATTTAACCATTGACCAATTAGCCCGTTAAGAAACAAAATTATTAATAAAAATATTTGTTCATTAAAACAATTAATTATTAATTATTTAATATATTTCATTTTATATTTACCTGTCTATGTGCGTATACTACACTGCCGAGTAATTTCCAGGTGCCACCACGTCTATCCATGCGTACCATCCTTAATATCTGGAAGAATCTCAAGCCACGCAAGGCACTAGTGGCAAAAACTTGACCAGATGTACCCATGCCCAAGACTATAATTGATGGTACTATGGTAATAATATCTGAAAATTTTAATTATATTATAATTATTAGATTTTCTTCAATTGTAACTTATTAAACGATATAAAATATATTATTTAACAAAAACTTACCTATAAAACAAAACGGTCGCTTCATGAATTTCATACGACCAGCACAGCCTTGATATCTTGATCGGCACCCAGACGACCAAAGTCTGTAAAACAATATGCTCGTTATAGTTTTCTAAGCCGTCATTTTAAATTAAATAAATAAATAATACAAATAAACAAACTTTTGAAGTAAACAGTGGCATAGTTAAAATAAATTCTAAAGGGATTTAAATACATCGTCACAAAAGAATTTCATAATATTTTTTCGTGATTTTTATTAGCTGTAAGAACTTAAGTGATTCAAGTATATGAACATAAAGATATTGTAAGAGATTAAAGATATAGTATAAAATGTCATTTATAGAAAAAATAAAATAAGTGTATTTCAAGTTCAATAATTTTTTTTTTGGCGTACCAGCAGGTGAGAGATATTAACTTTTTCTTGTCCTAGGTCTTCTAAGAAGAGACTTTATGACTTACTATATATGTATATATAATAAATTAAGTAGAATAATTTTATGCATTTAAATAGAATAAATAGAAAGCTTCATAATTCATAATTTTTTTTAATACTATTACACGTAAACAAACTATAAAAATTGTATCTGAGAGCACGTTCTTCCTAAAAACCACACGTTGCAACTGTAAAGATTATTTTACTTCACTGGAATTCCCATTAAAAATCAGTTTCTACGAAATTAATTTAAAAACACTTAAAAAGTATTTTAGTATGCGACAGTTTCATTTAATATTGGCAATCTAAAAAACTTATGGAGAGAATAATGCCATAAAATTATAATTAAAATAATATGTGATTATTGGTGACATAAAGTGTTGTATTAACTATTTAGTATCTTAAAGTGGTTAACAGACCACTACAGGTGGTAGATTTGCTGATATTTTTTATATAATATTTAACCTCGTTTGAGAGAAAATGGACTTGCAAATGAATTTGTAATAGACTAGATTAGAGTTACAGTATTATATGCACCATTTATTATTTATTTGCACTATTGAAAAATTTATTTCTATTTATTATGTCTGAATATCTGAATTAATATATAATATAATAATAATATATAATAACACAATAAAAAAATTAGATTTGCAATTAAATCTATCCTGGACTAGAATTGATTTATGGTACTATAAGCACTACTTAAATTCTTTATAAGTTTAATATAATAATATGTTATCTTAAATAAAATATGTTCTAATAATCAACCATAGCATTAATATATGAATCTAAATACATATATATTTACCTAAGTATCTCTACATATTCTGTTCTATTCTATTCTGAATTCCTGTACGTTTAGTTTTTAATACTGAATAGACTATTTTTTGAGTAGAAAGATTTGAACTCAAGATGTTTATTATAACTGCGATCACTACATAAAAATAGTTCGGTCATTAATTTTATGCGGGGAATAGGGTTGAAATAATAGTGAAATTGAAAAATTTTGAATATTTTCATAATAACTAGTCAAAATTTTGTTTGACTTAAAAGGTTTCAACAGAAGATACCGGTATTGGGTATAAAATTGGGTATATATACAGATGCAAACTGTAGATTCTGCGAAGAGAATAAGGAGTCAGCCACACATGTGCTGTTAGAATGCCCTGCGCTAATGCACAAACGGAATAGAATCCTGGGCATATATACCTTTATGGAAGAGGCAATAAGACTCTGTAAACTAGGTTCTATACTTCTTTTTATTGACGTAACAGAGCTTACAGATCTACTCTAAACCTAGGAGGGGGCACAAAAGACATGACGGTCGCAGTGCTACATCCCTTAACATTAATAATAAATAAAAAGTGTCAAACTTCATGTTAATAGTTTATGATCAAATTAATATTTTTTAATAATAATTAATTTTAATAATATAAAAGTTTATATGTATATATAAATCCATTATATTCATAATTCATAATAAATAATAGTTGGTAGTATGTTTTTTTAATAATTTGATTTTATTTAAATTTAATTATATGTTCAATAATTTAATTATCTTCGATGGTCACATCCAGGTACTAATATTTTTTTTAAATGACTATAGAAAGGAAGAGAGAACATTTTTTATTTTTTATGTCACAGTACCCGTATTTAAATCAGGTGTAAGATCAGAAATCAGTTTCTGATTATAACATTATAGTTTTATAATTATTTATTTGACTCTGATTAAAATTATATGAATTTAATTATATTTCCAATATTAAAAATTATAATTTCAAAAAAAAATAATGTATCGATCAAATCAAAACTCATTGGAGTCGCGGCTGTAGCTAAAACAACAGATCAACGTAAAATGTATTTAAAATATCAATTTTTGAGAAAAAATGAATAAAAAGAATCCCCTAATCAATGTGACTCTTAAAGTTCGAAAAATCGTCAATGAAAAGCAGGAAAATCCCCTAATAAACGTAAAATCTATCTTGACTTTTAAAGTTTGACAAGTCGTTAATTAAGAGCGAAAAACTTGAAAGTTTTATTTACGTTAACTATTAGTGGTTTATATATAAAATATCATATTTGAGCTATTCTTTTTACTTCATGATTCTTTATATGTAAAAATCACTTCTTTTTTTTACCTATTTACCCTATATTTAATAAAAACTTGCATTTAGAAGTTCTGTAAATTATATATTTAGAAATATATAATTTAAAATATCAACAACATAAAAGTACAACTTATAATTCTCATGTTGTTTACATTATTGTTACTATAAAAATATAAATAAAGCACTATATTATTGTCATAATTTAATATAGAATATACCAATTAAATAACATTAATCAGCTATCAACATTTCTATGAGTTATAGTCAATTAGTTAATATATTGTTTACTAGTATCAGAAAAAATATAATTATTACTATATATAAACTATAGAGTTATACGAAATCCATGCTAACGTTTTTATTATTTAAAAATGGTTATGTGTACAATTTGCATACGAAAGTAAGCGGGACTTTCTAGAAATAGGTACCGCCTTCACAGGCCGATGAACCAAATGCCAACCTAATGCAAAACTAAATATACAAGAAGTTATAAAAATGTTGATAAGAATTCATTTAAATTGGCAACTGGCCAATAGAATAATTGGGTTCTTATTGACTTTAACAGTGTCCAGTACTTACAAGAAAACTATCGTCCAATTTGACCATTCCTTTTCAATAGTTTCAACTCGATATATATATTCTGAAGATAATTTAAATAAATATTCTTCATCACAATTTACAAACGACAGATGGCCAAGGCATAAGACAAGTAGGATAACCGAAATGGTCTGTAATTATGCTTACAACACACCCCACTATTTAGTACTTGCTCCCCTATAACAGAAATCCAGTTTGACATAGTCATTGGTGTGTTAATGGAGTACTATCTTTAAACAACCAAAAGATGGACTTGGTTAAAGAAGTAATAACATTGAATACAATACAGCTAGGACATAGAATACTTTAGAGTATGTGTTATCTGCATCCCCAACCATGTTGAACCATGTTAAACACGAGGATTAAATATTTTGATTTGCTCCAATGTCACAATTGAAAGTCTTTAACCAAAGAGGAGATCGTCATAATTCTTTAATTAGGTATTCTGTGAAAATACGCTAAAAATACCCCAAAAAATTATTTTGAACCAACGTAATGCATTTAGATTGAATGCATGTAGTTTAATTAGTTTACTTTTGTTAATATTAGATATTAAATTAAGGCATATATAATGGTATTGAATGGACTAAAAAATGATACTCATGCCATTTTTGAAAGCTTGAATTACATTTAAGTTGTTGAGAGATTTTTCACTGAAAACTTTTTTGTGATATCTGACAAAGGTCTTTCAGATCCTTTTCAATACCACCTTCTGCTCAAAAAGTATCCGGAGTTTGTTGACATGTAGTAAAAATTTGAGCGCCGTCTCTCAATTAGTTTGTTTACAGCAGCTGTTAATGTGAGACTACCTCAAGTGAATTTAGCGCTTTTTACTGTGGAAAATTCTTGTTGTACGCACGGCACCACTGTCATCGCTCAGGCACCATATTCGTCAGATCTGGCGCCGTGCGACTTTTTCCTGTTCCCGAAACTCAAATTGCCCCTTCGTGGTAAGCGTTTTGAATCCATTGAATCGGTAAAAGAAAATTCGCCGAAGGAACTAAAAGCCATACCTGCACGGGCTTACGAAAAGTGTATGGAAGATTGGGTTAAGCGTTGGCATATGTGTATCGCTTCAGAAGAGCACATTTTGAAGGAGACAAAATAAATTGGGAATAAAATTTAAATTTGTGTGTTTTATTTACAAAAACCGGGTACTTTTTGAGCTGGAGGTATATCTAATAAATAGTTTTTACACAATTAGAGAAATATTAAGTAAAGCAAATAATTTTAGACTTAATTTTGAACGTTTTTACTTATTTCTTTTATGGATCAAAAAAAAAATGACTACTAGAAGTTTTCTAATTTTATAATTATTTATTTCAAATTAAGAGTCTTTATATAAATTCAAGGCAACCATAAGTCTAGGGATTACTTTAAACTGTTAGTGGTTATTAAATTTTCAATTTAAGATAAGAATTTTTATATATTATTGCTAATTCTTGTTAACTCATAATTATAATTAAGTAAATATTTCATTATTATTAAATTGCCGCTGAAACTAAATTCTGAAACACATTAAACTAATTCTTAATTATTTACAGAAAAGCTTTTAATATGAATCTTTCCATTTTTTGCTCTCTATTTCAAGTCTGTCTATCTTCTTTCATGTTTATCAATAATTGTCAGTCGCCAAATCGTTCAGAAATATCCAATTAGTCCAAAATTTTTGGAAATACACAACACGATATTTGATGTTAAGAGTGTTTTAATTAACAAACTTATTATAAACTATTAAAAACTATAAGTTCCGGAACATAAAAAAATAATTGGAAAATGTTTGATAATTGCAAAACTGTTTCTTTTCTTGATTAGATACAATAGTCGTAAACGAAATGAAAGTTTGTCCAGTGCTCAGTAGAGGAAAATTATTTTACAAACTATGCCATGCACTCCAAAAATATATTTCCAAAAGTTTTAATGACTTATTCACTGAAATTAATTTTCATTTTTTTTCTACATTTTATTTTGCAATTTAATATTTCAAAATGTATGAAATGTATGAAGATATTTCAAATTTACTTACCGCAAGAAGAACTCCATGGTGAACCACACAACAACCAAAATCTCCATTCTAAACAAAATGTACAGAGCGTCCTTCTCGTATTCCTCGATTGTTGAAAAAACGCTCAAGGCAAGACAAGTAAATACCATTAGAAATCTTGAAATAAATGAATAACAATACTAGTTTCAATAAAGTTAAAACATTTGAATATACAATATAAATAAACTCATAAAATTATTTCGTATGTAAAATTATTTTAAATATTTAAATGGTAAATGGTACAGTGGTAAAGTGGTAAAGCCATATTTCAGAAATTCTGTGTTTGCCTAAGGTTCGATACCAAAAAATTGAATAATAATTAAATTTTAAGTTTTTAAAAATATTATTTCATTTTAATTTGAAATTTATTATCAAATATTTGTAATATACATATATCCATATTTATGAAATGGAAATTAAATTTTCAGTTATGACGACAGTGACTATTTGACTTAATAGAAACTATTGAATTTAATAGAATAAAATTAAAAAAAAAATAATAAGAAATGATGTTGTAAATCAATACTGTTCGAAACCTCTCTATTATATAATATAATTTCTATTAAGTAAAATTGTCACTGTTATAATAACTGACGTTAAAATCAAATTTAATATAGAATTATAATTAAAATAATTATGAATAAAAAAAAATATTTAATTTCCAGTTTCGCTTGTACGAATCGTAGAGTAATATTAGCATGACTTTCTTAGTATCACGTTCCTGGATTATGTTCTATACACAAGAAGAAACAATATAAAATTATGCAATAAATAATGACACAACAAAAAATAGGGTAGCTATAATTCATTCAATTATTCTACAGTTGATTCATGATTTCGTTCTAATATAACACATCAAGGATAATCTTCGAGACGAAGAGTTCTGTGACTCTGCTATGGCTACCGTGACATGAGGTGCACGAAGGCAATAAAAGGGCGGATGTCCTGGTCAAAAAAGAAGCAAAAAGGAAGCAGTGCTAACAATAGTTTCAAAATCAGCCTAGTACGCGAAAGAGAAAAACAAACTCTAACTGACTTCTGGAAAGCCCAAAAGAACAATCAAAACGGCTTATTATTCCTGAACATATAAAGGCTGAAACTGTGCTAAAATTAAGCAAAAAAGATATCGAACTCTACACGGGACTGCTAACATATCACTGTAGACTGTAATACCATCTGAAAAAGATTGGTTTAACAGAAAACGATTTCTGTCGACTCTGTTAAGAGCAAGAGGATACAGTAGAACGTTTTCTATATACATAATACAGCGAATTTGTTTATAATAAATCAAATACAGTTTTGGGTCTGTTGGCTAATAAACACTGACTCTAAGCTTAAAGTTGACTTTTATGAACACAAAAAATTATTTACGAATAATGAAATATAAGAAATAATATCCAGACGACTGATGATGGGTGATAAAAAAATAAGAAAGTATTAACCGACGACTCTATATATATGGTTTGATTTGTTAAAGAACAGAGTTTATGCCAAAGATTATCTTTTCCATATCTACTCTGGTCTTTTTGGTTTATTTGTAATTTATAATTGGAGGCCCTATAGTCCATTGGGAGATGAGGACAGGAGAAAGAAAGAGAGAGTGCGAGATAATTCGAAAAGGTGAATCTATTAAAATTCTTTGTAATAAGTGTGTACGGAAAGTTGGAATCTTCAACTTGAGCATGGAAGCGTCTAAAGTTTCGATGAAAACATAGAACAAAAAAATGTTTTCAAAGAGGGCTAAAGCCTCTCCCAAAGTGAATCTATGGAATGTATGTACAATTAAATAAATTCTCAACTTTTTATTTGTGTCTACCAAATCTCATTGAATCTTTGGAGTACTTGCATGGGTCTTACATAAATTTCCACTCTTACCCAGCAACCTCTTCTGAAGTAAATATCTAGCAACAGTTCTGGGTTAGAAACATGTTTAAATTCCTAAAAATGGCGTAGACTGTATTGGGCTGTATTCAAGTTGAATAACAACAAAGCAATTGATGTATCAATATCAGCTTTTGAGGACGGAGTAGTTGTATATAAGAAACAAAAACACTTGAAATTAAATGATAGGTGCAAAACCGCCGATAAATTTCACTAGGGTCCAACCTTGTTGATTTAGCATTCATGTTCTTCTTTTTAAAGAAAGAAGAAAATAAGCATAACAAGACCAACAGATTTAGTAATAGCTATCTATGACTTATTTGTCAACCTATTCGTTTATATGCATATTAGTCTTCAGTTTTTTGAACTACATGAATAAAATCTTGCAAGAAGCTATTTTGTGAATCCAGTATTTTAGTGAATTTTAGTGAAACCCCAACGATTTGGGGACGCTCGGTATTACCAACTGGCGATAGCAAGGCACAGATTGGACTGCCTGACAGAGAGTACTGGACGTAATCAAGGACACAACTTAAGTCTATAATGATCAACTAAATAAATAAGTAATTTTCAATTTATTTGTCTAAAATATGTATCAATGGTTGAGGCCAAAATAACAAAATGATAAATGATAAAATAAAACCTAAATAAATAATATAAATGAAGCTTTAAAAATGTCAAGTCTGACTTTTGGTTTTAATTCAATATAATTTAATTTTTAATTTAAACAAATTTTCTAATTATCTATTATATTCCATAAGCATGTAAATGTAGCCAATTATTGTATTCGGCTTAAAAGTTTTCATATGCATTTCCATTTTAATCATGTTATGTCATATACCTAAGAGATTAAAATCACATGGGTGACTAATATTTTAGTAATATTTGTTTTATCTTCAAATAAAAGTTAGAACTTCATTGTGAGTTTTTTTTCAATTAAGATTCTTTGAATATCCATTTGAAAAATATTAAAAAGTAGGAACGGAGTTTGACTTTGGAATATCTTTGAAATTGTTTCATGTTTCATGGTCTACTATAATACTTTCCTGTTTACTCTTTTTGATCTATATCTGCCTTATTTTCTATTCTATACAACTATCGAAGATTGTTTATATAAACCTACGATAATAATGATAGATACAAGTTGGACTGAAAAATGTTTGCCCGATTTATAAATGCTACGTCATGAAAAAATATTTGACAATAATGACAAAGATATTTGTCAAAGATATTTGTCATTATTTGGTTATATTTCTAAATAGCAATTGATAGATAATAGTAGTTTTTTTATTTTCAAAAGAAAAGATAAAAAAAAGTTGATTCAACATTGATTTTTGGCAAAAAAAAAACTTAATAATTCTTTTCGAAACCCTAAGAAAATAAGTCATCGTTTCTTGGGTATATCGAATTTAAATGTGACCACATTCAGATGCAGATAATACTCACTCAAATAATATTCTTATTCCGGAAAACAACAAAATAATTCATAAAATCGTTTTGAATGGACAGTAGATTGAAATAGCAGAAAAGGTCTTACCTATAATACAAAGAATGTTTGGGTTATACATTTCTTATTTAATTTTCGATCATGAGACGTCTAATAATAAAGTGGATATAGTGTTTGGACTGAGTTTATTAAAAGTAACAACATTGGAAATTAGATGTAATTAAGCGAGATAAAAGGAATAACTTTATGTTACCATGAACAAAACCTCGTTTCATCTGTGTACTCCGAAACCAAACCGTCAATAAGTTGAATGAATAGCAATTGGTGATGTGTGCAAATATAGAGCATTTGGGTGGAAAGGTTATGCTATTCATAATGTAGAATTATATAATATAGATCAATTATTTAAGAGGGAAAATAAGGATCATCAAAAGGAAATATAATATAGCATTATTGGTGAAGAAGCTAGCAGGCTTCTCAATACCACAGACCTATTTCAACGACTTTATCGAAAGAAGTTGCATGATTCGATTGTCATATAATTTATAATTTAAAGTAGGGGTTTTTAAAATTTCTCGTTAGTTTTCTTATTACAAATTGAAGTGTTAACAAACATTTTTGTGTACATATTTTTTGCAATCTTTGTTTTAAAAAGTGTTGGTACGTTTGAAGGATGAAATTGTTAACAAAAATCCCTATGATAAAATATGAAGTGGTCTTACACTAATAAAAGGTGTCGCAATGTTATAAATAGATGATATTCTACGAAATGTGCTTTGGATTACTATTTCCCCTTGTTTTTCCCAGGGAATAGCCAGAGAGCTTGTGTCTTCAAATGATGTAGGTATATGGAAAAAAATGGGATAAAATGAGATAAAACATAAATGTCGTTGCGAAAATAGACGAATATTTTTAAAGTTTTAATCAATGTTTTTTAAAAAGTGACAAAATATTGAAAAAGTGTCGATATGTTTGTGTTGTCTCGAGTGACGATATATTTTTATAAAAAATCCGAATCTTGCATAAATGAAACATAAAAAGCAAATCTATTATATATAGCTATTAATACAATAATTCTAAGTATAAAGCACATATTATACTTAACTGGTTGAAAGTTTTTACTCTATAATGCGGTAAAAGATATATGTTATCGTCGCTGATTTCCAGGTCTTGTTCAATTTCCATGTTTAACCTTTACTTATGTTTGGTCTCTTCTAATATGTTCAATAAACTTACTCAAGAAAGTTTGTTACACATAACTCTAAAAACTGGTATCAAAATCTTACCTCAGTATCTCGATTTGATCCAATCTTTATAGCTTTAATATTACTTAACAAAACTAAATACTATTAAGCAACACAAACCTTTAATAGATTGTGATTAAGTTAAACCCGATAAAAATGTTTCTCAAAATCACTACCAACTTACAAAAATATGTAGTTTAAAATAACTTTGACGTGGTATCGTTTTCCCAAGCTAATCTTCAGTACGTTTTTTATTGAAATATATATTTATATATTCACATCACATACTTACACCATAATATGATATATGACTGCTGGTATTCCGCGCGGCCTCTCCAGAAAGTTGTAGATACGACTTTGTAGTCTTCTGTACCGAAAACCACGGCGCGTGCCGCGATTGTAGTTTAGAGGTTTGCCCAATAGTGACATTCGCGGTTCAAAAAAACTGTCGGTTTCGTAATTACCGAGCTTACATGACCTGAAAGCAAAATAAGACACACATTTAAAATTTTAATTACTAATTTAATACATCAATTATTTCTATAGACTACGATTATTTCTTAGAATTTCTGCATTCAATATCATTATCATTAAAAATAATAGAAACATTTTTTGCATTAATGGTTCAAGTGATTTCGTTTGTGAACTCAAGATTCTGTGTCCTAATTTTATGCAGTTTTTTGTTTTCTGTATTCTTCGAAACCGCAAAAATATTCTAAAGAATTATATGTATTAATTTATGGATTTTTGCCAAACTCAACAAACTGTTTACAGTGTCTATTTTTAAAATTTAAAATTTTTTTCAGTGTTTACTGCCAATAGCGCGTTTTATATTCTTTCCAACGTTTAGTCATGTTTAGTACACTGTGACTTGCATCTCAAATGCATTTAATGTGTCTATTTGTCATACTAAGCAATCCATTAATTTCTGTTGATTAACTCTGTCAGTCATTAGTGGATAATAAGTCTATGAGAAGGCTTTGAGAAAAATATAGATAAATCGAAACTACAGGTAAAAAAAAATTTTATTACCACAAAAATATTCTTTGATAGTTCTCCACTTGTAAGATGACGATTAATTATAGAACAAGTGAAGACAAATTATTTTGACAATTCTTCAAATAAAGTCTGTCAACAAATTAGTGCAATAAATAAAAAAATTATTTCAATAACGAAAATGTTCGAGTAATGCCTTAAGGAAAAAATTTAAAAAAAACTATACTAAATACACATTATAAAAGTCCAATCACCCAAAATATCGTTTTCTCGAAAGTTTACCTCACGACAAAACTATTGAAATCTTGAAAACTATAATGAAAAAGTCCTCATGACACATATGGAATTTTCTTTAGAAAATCTTATTGCCTAATTCATAATTTCCGAATTTTCTCTAAATAGACATTATAAAAACCCAATCACCCAAACTATTGTTTTCTCGAAGGTTTATCTCATGACAAAACTATTGAAATCTTGAAAACTAGATTGAAAAAGTCCTCATGACATATATGGAATTTTCTCCAAAAAATCTCCTCTTTTAATTAATAATTTCCGAATTTTCTCTAAATAGACGTTATAAAAACCCAATCACCAAAACTATCGTTTTCTCGAAAGTTTACCTCACCCCAAAACTATTCAAAACTCTCTAGAACCAGAATGAAAAAGGTCTCATGACATATATGAAATTTTCTCTAGAAAAATATGTACTTAAGTAATAATTTTCGAATTTTCTGGTGCAAATTTCGAATACGGGATAGGTTTCTCCTACGAAACAACTACAAAAACTTGGCGCTAGACAAACTAGGCAAACTAGACAGTAACTCTTAGGTATCGTAAACGTTTAACATATATAGAACAGAATATAATTTGTATATTCAACGACTTTTTATCGTTTCTACTTTAGTTTCTCCAAAGTAAGTACTATCATTTTCGTTAGAAAAACTAACACAAAAGTGGTTTATCGCAATGGTATTAATTGGAAGGTAATGGAAAGTGATTAATGCAATATATTTAGATTTAACAAGCATACTCAGGGTTTATTTATATAACATTCAAAATATTAGATAACGTGATATCTGAATGATTGAGGATTTGTATTGTTTATAACAGAAAATTAGGTAACAAGAACTTAAGTGTTTTATAAATAACATTTAATTTATTTTGAGTAGATACTCTATTTTAACTAGGTTATTTAATTTTAGTAAAACATGTTGTTATGATCATATATACATATGTAAACACAAGTAGAAGTAATTTTAGAAGTGGATGGTTATCGAAGAGAGCATAGAATTAGATTAAATTATTGGTTAGGAAAATTCCAAATTGCATTCACTACTAACTAATATCATTACTATTATAAAAGTAATAAGTAATATTATTTGCATTACTTATTGATAATAAAACACCGATAAAGAAAAAATAATTTTAGTTTTTTTAATGTTCATTTTAATATCATATTCTGATTCCATTATTTACTTATATCTTGAAGAGGTTTTCGAACAGAAGTGAAACAACAACAAAAATTTATTTTTTAAATTATTTTAATTAATTGAATTTTTGGCTGACCATACAGCTGTTTCGAGTATTGCCAAATACCCTTCATCAGTGGTCTTGGAAATAATTCTTGTATTTAATTATTCGTAAATAATTATTTTTGAGACTGCAAGTACCAGGAATCGAACTCGGGTCCTGCCAAATGTGATATCTTATATCTTGAAGAAATCTTCTCATGCAGGAACTTAGCAGAACCACAACCAACATTCAACTGGTATGATTTTCAAAACGGTGGCAACATTGTTTTGTTCAGAAGTGAGTACAAGCATTCGCGTCAAATTTGTTTTCGGATAAAAATCCATCCGTTATTAAATTAAATTGTAATAGTAAGATAGTGCTAGAAACCTGATGTTGGAATCGATAATTCGAGCAGCAGATTTAAACCGCACTGGTACAATATTCTACAAAAGTGTAATGTTGCTTGTATATGCCTATAATTTTGGCCTGAACACTCGCGCCGTCATTGTGGCATTTTCCAACTAAGAAAAACAAGCGAAGTAAATGGGACAAAAAGTACTTTCTGTCAACAAACAAATCAAAGACGCTCCGTCTTGGGACTTACGCTACTGTTGACAATTATAAATTCGAAGTTGTGAAAGACTTTTTTTTAATTGGGAACCAGCGTAAATACCAAAAATGACGTCAGCCTAGAGAATCAACTAAGAATCACTCTCGCCAACAGATTTTATTTCTGGCTAAGTAGGCAATTGGGAAATTGCCCAAAATCACGCTCTGCAAGTCTGTTATCATGCCTGTCCTGCTGTGTGGTGCAGAAGCTTGGACAAAAACCAACAGTGATAAAAAGGCGTTAGGAGCATACGAGAAAAAATTCTTCGAAAGATCTATAATCCCTTACGCGTTGGTGACGGATATAGAATTAGATGGAACGATGAGCTGTATGAACTATATCGCGACATTGACACAGTTGAGTGCATAAAAATACAGTGACTTCGCTGGCTTGGTCTTTCGAATGAAAGAAAGTGCTCCGGCTAGAAAGGTATTTGATTCGGTACCCGTAGGTGGAAAACGCGGTAGAGAACATTTGCATCTTCGGTGGAAGAACCAGAAGATCAACGATTTGGGGGCGCTCGGTACTACCAAGTGGCGACAACAAGCAATTTATCGGGGTGGCTGGCGGAGGCTATTTGACGTGGCCAAGGATGACTCACGTTTATAATGCCCAGTAAGTGTGGTTGAAACAAATCACGGGGTATCAACAAAACCGTATAATACTTCAATGTGTAAAATTAAATCTTTTTTATCTTGAATGAAATTTTGAATTGAACAAAATCAGCGTTCCAGTTGAAGATAATTGGAGCACAGATGAATAAGTTGAAAATAATCGTCCAAATACTTAAAAACGAACTTAAAATTACAAGTTTTTATATTAGAAAACGTGTTACTCATTTCCAAGGGACTAGAAAGTACTGGCAGCAGAAGTTTTTGACTATTGTAATAGGTAAATTATAGGTAAATTTAATAACAAAATAATAATGATCAAATAAAACAAAGTATTACAATCAACATTAATATGATAGTAAAATTAAGGTTAGATTAATGCAGGAGATGTCTGGGAAGAAAGGTTCTAAATGCAATGAAAGTAGTGAATTTCTACCAGATATTTGAATGTGCATTTGATATTAGCCGCTGAGTCTACTGATAGGAAGAGAGGAAGAGATATTAACGTCAAAATGACTTTTTAGGAAGTAATTGATTTTATTTTTTTGAAGTTCAATTGATTTTATTGGATATGATATGTGGTGATATGTTTATCACCACTAAAACTGTAGAGAATTCCCTGAGAATTGAGAATTCCCTGAGAGCGTGTACTTGTGTCACATGAAAGTTTGTACGATTCTTAGACGTGAGAACACAGCGATTTGATTTTTTTTGAATGTTCCAAGAAAGTAATTGTATTCTATACGTCCACACAGGTATACAGTATAGGCACATTATGAATAAATGCCTTATTTATAATTAGCTGAGACTGCTATTCAAGCAATCATAAATTTTCATAATGACCAATTTTTTGTAGAAAACGTAATAGTTATTAACCACTAAACATTATACTAATAATATCAACTGAATGAGTTTTTGACGTTCTTTAAACTACAAATGTCTGGTTATAAGATCTATTAAACTCTTAACTTCATAATCACACTGCTATTTACTTCTTAAATCATAACTCTTGAATTTAATCAAATAAAGTTTTATAATGACATTTAAAATATAATTTATGTTATAAAATTAATTGTGACTGAATTTATTTTTAATTAATTTTTAAATTTTATTTTTTTATGTTAAATTCCCTCAATACTAGTTTTTTACTGTTTATTAAATAAAATCGCTTTATATTTTTTTATGGAGTCAGTGCTTACAAAAGGGTTTCAAATAACTGCAAAAAATACAAACTATTTGCAATACTTTTTAAATAAATTCATGCTGATTCATTGCTATTTTTTACTACGATAATACATCATAAATATATTTTCAATAATTAAAAATTGTCATTTGATCTATTGATGTGCTACGTTAATCCAAGCATATATTTTTTTCTACTGAAAATTATCATATATATGTCAAGTTAGATATATAAACCAGTGTATGCGTTAACATATACATTGTACATATAATACATTGTACATATATGTACGTATATATATTAAGTTTATTAATTATAACATTTATAACACCTTTCGCACTATTGAGAAAAATTGGCATATTTGGTTCAGTAATCTCTTTTCTAAAGTAAAAAAACATTGGCGTCTATTTATATAGTCTATACTACATACTATTGTATATACATACTATTGCCTAAACTGACACGGGAAGAGCAATTGATTTAGTAATATATATACATCTTTTTCTCGTTTCGTAGATGAACTTGTAACTCAGGTTTGATCAAATTTAGCGAAATATTGAATAGGG